ACTTCTTTTCTAAAATCTGTCTTTCCTATTAAATTCTCTTTCCTACCTACTTTTATTGTCATTGTGGCTTTATTTTGTGCTTAGGGACAGGTCTCTAATTTTAGTAATCTGGACCCAAAGAACCTAGGACTTCACAATGCAGCTCAACACTCTCCTATCCTATGACAATACTTCTTTCAATTTGTATAAAGCTAAATATTTTTTGTAAATTACTTTTTGAATTTTGTAAGAAAAACTGATCCTCAGATTATGTTGTAGCTGGGTAATATAAAAGGAAACAGTCCTGCATTACATTAGTCACAGATGCCAGTTGAACAGTTGTACCCAGAGCTTTGAATCACAAGTTCTCATGGGGACAGACCAATAATTTTTTCTTTTTAAAAATAATTATTTATTTAACTTTTTAATTTATTCATTCCTTTTTTGTTTTCAACTTTATCAGAGAAAGACAGAGAAGAGAAAGTGAGAAAGGAAGCCACCAGGTCCAGGACTTGAATCATGATAGACCATGTGGTAATGTCCAGCACCTTAACCACCATGCCACCTTCTGATCTTGGCAAATAATTGATTCTTAAAGAGTGTCTTCATTTCTTCTCATGACTGAGCAGAGGCTTTATCACTTATAACTTCATTTTTATCTCACACTCACCATCCATCACCCCTCTCTACCAACCCCTTTATTGTCAGTAGCTTTTACACCAATCCTTCTCCATCACATCTTCAATCTCTCAACCTCTGCTATTAAGTGCACACTCAGTACAAATTGAATGGGGATATGAAATGTTTATCTTTTAAAATCTGGCTCAAATTCAACAGTTAGTGTAATGGCTTTTTTCGCTAGACTCCCATGAAGTCAACCACAGTTTATGTCCAAACATGGTGGCTTAAACTCATGCCGGGCACATGTGTGTGCATGCCCAAGATCCCAAGAGGAGAAAGGAGAAGGGATTGTGATGTGGCCATCCCCCCTGGGGAGTGATTTCTTGCTTTCTGTCTCTCTGTCTCTGTCTTTCTGGCAAGGGCATGTGCCCTAGAGTAAAAACCGCTCAAAAAATATTTTTCCAAGCATAAATACCCTATTAGTCAAGTCAAAGAAATTATCATAAATACATAGTCATCAACAGATAACAGGTAATTTTCTATCTGTTTCTCTGTTGAAATTTTCCCCCCTAAATTCTTCCCGTACTCCATATTTTGTCTTTCTCTCATACTGTCTTTGGTATCCAGTTGCTTTTCATGGTTTTATACCTTCAAACTTTTCAGTTTCTAAGTGAGGACATACGATGCCTTTCTTTCATAGTCTGGATTGCTTTACTTAGCATTAAATCTTCCATATTCATCTATTTTCAACTAAATGCAAGAGTTTCAATATATTTTATGGTTAAGTAGGGTTTTCATGTGCCACAATTTTTCAATCTTTTCATCTGTTCTTGGACATTTGGTTTGATTCCATACCTTAGCAGATGTAAATAATATCACAATAATCAGGGATGTGCAAGTATTTTATCAATTGCATGTATTCCTATCCTGTGTGTAGAAACTCAGGAGTGAAAATGCTGAATCATATATTAGGTGTATTTGTAGGACTGTGAGTAATTCCATATTGTTCTGCACAGCAACTGTATTAATTTACATTATCAATAGTGTAGGAGTGTTCCTTTTTCACCGCAGCCTTTTCAGCAGGACTTTTTTTGTTGTTTTGTTTTTTAATCTTAACCATTCTTACTGTATCTAATTTTGGTTTTGATTTGCAACTCCCTTAGGATAAGAGATGTTGAGCATTCATTCGTACACTTTTTAGCTATTAATGCATCTTCCTTGGAAAGTTGTGTGTTCAGCTCCTTTACCCAACTTTTAATTAAACTTTTTTTTTTCCAGGTTAGCCACTTGAGATTCCTGTATAGTTTGCTTATCAGTCCTTTATTGGAGGGAGAATTTAAAAATATATTCTCACATTCCAAGGGTTGCCTCTTTACTTTTTATTTCTTTTGCTGTGCAGAACCTTTTAGCCTGTTGTAGTACCCCTGTGTCTTTTGAGAATTACTGTCTGTGATTTGGGGGTCTTATTTAAAGCTTTTCTGTACTCCAATGTCTCCAAGAGATTCCCCATTGATTTCCACCAATAGTTTTATAGCTTGAGGTTTTATGTTTAGGTCTTTGATCCATTTTGAGTTTATACTTGTTAATGTTCAGAGATAGGAGCCCAGTTTTATTTTTCTGCAGGTAGATATCCAGTTCTTCCAGCACCATTTGCAGAAGATATTTTGTTTTCCCCACTGGATTCTCTTGGGCCCTGTGTCAAAAATCAGTTGAATGTATGTTTTGGGGGAGGGGGGATATTTTTGTGTTCTCTATTCTGTTTAAATGGTTTGCATGCCTCTTTTTATACCGGTTCCATGCTTTTTTGATTATTAAAGCTGTGTAATATGTATTGGGATCTGTAAGTAAGATGACTCCTAAATTATTCATTGTGCACTGTATTCCTTTGGTGATACAGGGTCTTTATGCTTCCAGATAAGTTTTTTTTTTTTCTCAACAATTGTTCATTTAATTCCATTCATTATTGTTTTTCAATTTGACCAGAGAAAGACAGAGAGAAAGAGAAAGGGTAAGTGACAAAGGAAGCCACCAAACCTAGGACTCCAAACCGCAGTGGTCCATGTGGGAGTCCAGTGCCCCAAGCACTATGCCACATGCCAGCCCCCCAAACAAGTTTCATGATTGCTTTGTCCTAATTCTATGAAGAATATATCTGGTAATTTGATTGAAATTGCATTAAATTTGTAGGTCAGTTTGGGTAGAATTGACATTTTGATTATGTTAATTCTTCCAACCAAGGTACGGAAAATGTCTATCCACTTTTTTTGTGTCTTTGTTTAATTTTAAAATTTGACATTTTTTTCTTTAGGACATGTGTTCTCACCAGAGAGACAGAAAGCAAGAAATCACCTCCAGGGTGGGATGGGCACACCACACTCCCTTTCTACCATGCTCTCAGGATTTTTGGCAGGCACACAAACACAACGAGTTTCAAGCTTCCAGGTCCAGGACTTGAAGTGTGGTTGGCTATGTAGGAGTCTAGCAATGTAATCATTATGTCATCTGATTGTTCCGTATGTCATTTTCAATGTCTTCTTTTAGTGTTTTCTAATTTTTTTTATAGAGGTCTTTGACTTCTTTGGTTAGGTGTATTAATAGGTATCGTATATTATTAATGCTAATGCTGTCTTCAATTCTCAATCTGCTCCTTGTTGCTGTATAAAAATGTTATAGATTCTTGTTATGTTGATTTTGTATGCTGCCACTTTACTGTATTAATTCATCAGTTTTACACATTTCTTTTGTGGATTCTTTCAGGTATTTTATGTATACAGTCATGCCATCTGCAAATAAAAATAGTTTCACTTTTTCTTTTCCTTTATCTTTTATTTAATTATCTTTTCTGATTGGACTTCTAGTACTATATTGAAAAGTAATGGAGAAAGTGGGCAGCCTTGTATTCCAGTTTGATTTGGAATATTGTTAGCTATAATTCTTTTTCATATATGGCTTTTATGCTGTTGAAAA